ACAATGCGAAAATTTGCTTCTACATATTATATAGCATATAACTGAATACAGGTATACAAGCATAGCACAAATTACAATACTATATAGCTAAAACCACTTCTCCACCCTATCCAGCCTCTCGGCTGTCTAGGAACTCAGATGTACCCTCGATCTCTGGAATCTAATGCAAGTCTGCCTTAAAACTTTACTATGATTTATTTTATAAGACTCCTGCAGATCACGCACAGAAAGCCTGTTCATGGCCCTGAACCTGTGCAATTAACGATATGATTGGTTACTTTAAACCAAATGATGCAATTAGAATAATTCCACTCACGTGTAATTCTGGTGGTAAATGAGTGACATATGTTTTCGATAAATAGCTCTTTTTTATGTGTCAACTGTCAATTACAGACTAAGTTGATTTAAGTATTTTAAGTACATATCACATATTATGCGAATATGTTATTTCTCGAGCAAAAATTCTACTAAAAGTATTACACCTCTTCTAGACAAGACATAGGCTATAACTGTTCTTAATGGATATTTTTCAAATGACAAGTGCTAAATGAAGTATTTATGTGGTCTTTGGTGAAAGAAATGAAATGAAATTAAATTAGGTTTAACGTCCTACTGTTCTGCTCCTAACCTGGGCTAATGAAGACGGGCATAGCCATACAGTGTGCTATAAGGGAAATTTTGCCTGGGCAGCGGTGCTACGGCCTACTCTTATATCGAATTCCAACTGCCAAGGGATCTTTTACGTGCACGCCAATGTGTACTTAGCCACCGTGATCCCCGTTGTGGCTACAATTCCTGGATTTGAAGGTCAGGTATGATATGAAACGAATATTTTGAACTGGTTCACCAATGCAACCAATCCGTGACGGGTTAACTGATAGAGGTTTACATCCTTGATATAAATATACTTGTCTCGGGTTTTAAAAATAGAAATATATATATAAAGGTAGCTCAAAATTAATCTCTACATGAACATAGGCCAAGGGGGGATCATGTGGCTAAGTGGGTAAGACGCTGACTCGCTAGCCTTGAGGTCGGGTGTTCGATCCCTGCATTGGCCGAGAAAGTTCATCCTGATTTTCCGGTGTGTTTCCCCTTGTCAGTGATGCAGGACGGAGGGCCTGACGAGGACAGCTGTCTAGTCGTTTGGATGGAACAAAAAAACGAGGTCCCGTGTACACATTGGCGTGCACGTAAACGATCCCCTGGCAGTTGGAATTCGATATAAGAGTAGGCCGTAGCCCGATGGTAAGTACGCGTGCGCTGTATCATACGGTCTGTCATTGAGTCAACTGGCGGGGTTTTGATTCCCCGGTTGTACGCGACAAGGAGTAGGGTCGCCTGTCCAACCTCGTAGGTTTTCTCCGGGTCCTCCGGTTTCCTCCCACATCTAAAGACCCCTACGCGCAAGCGAATTATTGAAATAAAATTAAACCATGTGTTAGTCCCGAAATGACCTAGTTTGTGTCGAGTGGACGTTAAACCCCATTTCTCTCTCTCTCTCTCTGCTGCCTGGGCAAAATTTCCCTCATAGCACACTGTATGGCGTATGCCCGTCTTCATTAGCCCAGGTTAGGAGCAGAACAGTAGGGCGTTAAAACCCCATTTCATTTCATTCCATTTCACATAGGCCAAGGCAATACTGAATAAACAGTAGGCCTAAAATATTTTTTGTACGATCTTGTGACAATTAATTCCTTTTATGAATAGCTTGTTTCCGACATATATCCTCTCACAGTATCAAATAACAACCTTTCAGCTTAAACTCGAGCACCAATGAGTTGAACGGTAACCTTTTGCGTCTCTTCAAAATATTTCAAATCTTTTGTCATAGATCAACAATTGCAAATATCTGTGTTACAATTATATTTGAAATGTGTTAAACCAATTCTGCAACACATGTAATATTGGTGTAGTATATATCTTTGTTTATACACCCACATATCAATTTTGGCGTATTATACTGTTGCCCTGTTTGTCCGTACACTGGGTGTGAAATGTGAATCATTCCGATTTTGAGAGGACAAGCATTATCAATATACAGCTTTTCAGGACTTTCCCTTCCTTGGTTAATTCTCCCTTTTTCAAATGCAATAGATGCTGTGTTTATTCTTAATTAATCTTTTTCAAATTTGTGTTACACACTGGAATCATAAGAGGACGAAACCTATCAATATTCAGCATTCCACAACATTCCATTCCAGTGTCGGCCGAGAAAGTTCTTCGTGATTTTCAGACTTGGTTTCCTCCCCTTGTCAGACGTGCAGGACAGAGGGCCCGTCAAGGAGGGACAGCTGTCTAGTCGTTTGGATGGGACGAATGACCGAGGTCCTGTGCACACATTGGTGTGCGCCTAAAAGATCCCCAGGCAGTTTGAATTCGATATAAGATTAGGCCTTAGCGCCGCTGTCTGGATAAAATTCCCTAACAGCACACTGTATAGCATATGTCCATGTCATTAGCCCTGTCGGAATAGGACATTAAACCCCATTTCATTTCACTCATTCCAAAGTTAACTCCTATTCCATCAATACCTTGAGCAAACGAGATAGAGGCTATAGGTTTTGGCCCAATTTGGTCAATATCCCAGTTTTCCTTTCTTATATGCATATCAACACTTTCATAGTGCTAATGTAGACCTTTTTCTTGAACATTTTCCCTTGTCAGTGATGCCGAACAGAGGACCTGACATGGATGGCTAACTAGTCATACGGAAGGGACAAAAAACAAGGTACTGTGTAAACTCTGGTGTGTGTGTGTGAAAGCTCCCTTGGTAGTTGGAATTTTATATAAGAGTACGCCATAGCTCTGCTGTCCAGGCAAAATTTCCCTCATAGCACACTGTGTGGCATATGCCCGTCTTCATTTCTCAAACAGCTGTGGATAAAAACTGTTAATATTTAAATGTGTATTTTGTATTTTATAACATTATATTTTTGTCTTTTAAATAAAGTACATCTATACATATGCCCGTCTTCATTTCTCAAAAAGCTGTGGATAAAAACTGTTAATATTTAAATGTGTATTTTGTATTTTATAACATTTTATTTTTGTCTTTTAAATAAAGTACATCTATACATACTTATAGTATATTTTGTTATATAATTCTGCTAGATTTTTAACTTTTATGTGCAATATATTTAGAATTCTGACTGGTTATGGGTAGATAGAGAGCAATGGGGTAAAACATCCAATAGACATAAACTGTCCTTTGGGACTAAGTGATTCAATTCAAGTTGAATAATTCACTCGCACCAGGAATCTTTAGTAGTAGGAGGACCCAGAGAAAACCCATGTTCAAGTTTGGTGTGGAAACAAACCACTGGACAGACCTTATGATCCAAAGCGCACATGTTGGATCACTCATCGTCTAGCCTCACCCACGAGTCAGGAAAATTTGATTATTGGTTGAATGTATTTCCCATTTACTGCCGCAAATAGTGAATAATTTTGATTGTTTTCCCATAAAAATTGTGTTCTGTTAAGGTTTTAATGGTTGGTTATATTTTCGTAACTTTGCTCATCAAAATTTGACATTAGAATTGCATCCGTAAATGATGTTAATTTAATGTTAGATTTACGTTATAATGGTCAGTTAGATATCCATCATTTTGCTCATCCTTTTAACGACAATTTAACGTCGGGAAATGACGTTAATCTAGTGTAAAGTTTACGTCATTTTTACGTTATATTTACATCATTTTCTGGCGTAAATCTAACGTAAAGTTTACGTCATTTTCTGACGTAAATCTAACGAAAATGACGTAAACTTTACGCAAAATTTACGTTAGATTTACGTCAGAAAATGACGTAAACTTTACGTTAGATTTACGTCAGAAAATGACGTAAATATAACGTAAAAATGACGTAAAGTTTACGTTAGATTAACGTCATTTCCTGACGTAAAATTATCGTTAAAAAGATGAGCAAAATGATGGTAAACTGACCATTTTTACGTAAATGTAACGTAAAATTAACATCATATTGTTATGACGGTATATTCTTTTAAAAAAACAACTTAACACGTTTATTTAAACAGGATTTAACTGACACAGTATGCGACTGATAATATGTCCATAATTTTGCTTGTTGGTTTTTTTTTTATTTTATTTTTCATATATGGTTACATTGCCAGTTTGTAAAGTGCCCCTGAACACGGTATATGAAAGGGTGCACTATAAATATGCTGTAATAGTAATAAATATCCTGTAAAAGTAATAAATAATAGTAATAAATATGCTGTTATATTAATAAATATGCTGTTATATTAATAAATATGCTGTTATATTAATAAATATGCTGTAATAGTAATAAATATGCTGTGATAGTTGGGACCAACCTATAGAACATCCTGCTGTGAGGACCAATCTGAACTTATATAAATCAGTACAGAAAAATCCCGCTGGAGATTAATCTGAGCAAAATCCCTGCCGTGAGGAATAACCTAAAAGAAATCCTGTTGTTGGGACCAATGAAGAAATTCCTGCTGTGACACAAATCTAAATACAAAATCGTGTCTTGGGGCCAATCGAAATTTTAAAAAAATCCTGCTGCTGTGAGAGCCAATCTACGATATAAATATGGTGTTTGTGGGTTGGGGGTGGGGGTGTATAGAATATTTATTTCTTTCGTCACTTTTTTGTGTATATTGGGGGCGGGATTAATGGCGTTATGGGTGACAGATTGTCAAAGTTAGCGATATAGATAAGGCTATATTAGTTTATTTTTCTACTTTAAACTCCTGGCCTTGAATAGCAGGTAAACGGGTTTTAACATTTATGTAGTAGTCAATGTGGTCTGCCCCCAGTTGTTCAAATTATTTCCCTTGATATTTCGAAGGTGAAGGCTGACAGCTGTCAATCATTCTGGTCTAGTGGCTATGATGCCTGTCACTTTGTATTGGCTACGAAAGAGTGTTAACCTTAGTGAAGGGTGGGTATTCTCTTAGTGAAGGATGAGAGACAGTGAGGGCTGACTTGATCTCGGCTACACATGTACGATTGGTTGATGCTATATCGCACCTAGTAAAAACACAAAAAGGTGGTGGATAATCTAACGACAATTCCTGCTCTGCTGAATAATCTAATCACAATTCCAATTGCCGAGACCATTCTATAGAAAATTCTGCTGCGATAGCTATTCTGACAAAAAAATTAGTCTGGTGTAGTGGCTATTCTGCCGAATATTTCTACTGTGATGGGTAATGTCACGAAATTCTTGATATAATGGATATTCTAAAGAAAAATGGTGCTGTTGGAACCAATCTATAGAAAATCCTACTGTGAGAACCAAGCTGAAAAGCCATTCTGGTGTAATTGCTAATGTGAAGAAAATTCTGGTGTAATGTCTATTGAGGAAAATTCTGGTGTACCCAGTTAACATTCATGGTTAGATTTACGTAAAGTTTACGTCATTATGGTTAGATTTTGGTTAGCGTCCAATAATGGTAAAATTCTTTCGTTAAATTTACGTTACTTTTACGTCATAATGGTTTTGGTTACTTTTACGTCAGAAAATGACGTAAATGTAACGTAAACTTTATGACGGATTACTAACCAATTTTTTTCCCTTTGAATACTTCTTGATTAAATAACATTACAAGTGTGTGCACATTCTAACAATTGATATATAGTCGGAATTCAGACATAATAATTATATATGTATTATTGGTTATAATTCTAACGTTAATCTAACGTAAATTTTACATCAGGTTTCTAACCGTTAGTTTATGGTTAGTTTTCTGACGTAAATCTAACGTTAGTTTTCTGACGTAAATCTAACGTTAGTTTTCTGACGTAAATCTAACGTTAGTTTTCTAACGTTAATATAATGTTAGTTTTCTAACGTTAATATAATGTTAGTTTTATGTCATAATTTTAACCGTTAATTTAACGTTAGTTTTCTAACGTAAATCTAATGTTAATTTTATAACATAAATCTAACTTTAGTTTTCTAACATAAATCTAACGTTAGTTTTCTAACATAAACCTGATATTAGTTGTAAAACGTAAAACAAATGTCAGTTTAATGTCATGATACTAACAATTAAGGGCCTGACAAGACAGCTGTCTAGTCATTAAAATGGGTAAGACCCTGGCTCGCTAGCCTGGAGGTCGGGTGTTCGATCCCTGCATTGGCCGAGAAAGTTCATCCAGATTTCCGGCGTGGTTTTCCCCTTGTCAGTGATGCAGGACGGAGAGCCTGACAAGGACAGCTGTCTAGTTGTTCAGATGGGATAAAAAAAACAACGAGGTCCTGTGTACACATTGGCATGCATGTAAAAGATCCCTTGACAGTTGGAATTCGATATAAGAGTAGGCCGTAGTGCCACTGTCGGGGCAAAATTTCCCTCATAACACACTGTATGGTGTATGGCCATCTTCATTAGCCCAGTTCGGAGCAGAACAGTTGGACGTTAAACCCCATTTCATTTCATTACATTTTGTATCCATTTCTAAGTGCCCAAGAATAGAGATCTAGCTCCTTTAATAGTTGCGGTCTGTAGGTGACACACAAAGAGAAAACGAATGAATGAATGATCTACTCTCAATTCAAATTCCAAATGTCAAGGATTCTTTTACGTGCACACCCACGTGATGGACTAGACACTGTTTTTTTGAGGTCCTCTGTCCTACACCACTACTAACAAAGGGAACTTTCTCAACCAACATGGGGATCACGTTGTCTAAGTGGGTAAGACGCTGACTCGCTAGCCTGGAGGTCGGGTGTTCGATCCCTGCATTGGCTGAGAAAGTTCATCCAGATTTTTCTGCGTGTTTTCCCCTTGTCAGTGATACGGGACGGAGGGCCTGACAAGAACAGCTGTCTAGTCAGGGGTGAAAAACTGAGGTCACGTGTACACACAAGAGTGCACATGAAAGATCCCTTGGTAGTTGGAACTTGATATAAGAGTAGGCCATAGCGCCGCTGCCTGGGCAAAATTTCCTTCATAGCATACTGTATGGCGTATGCTCGTCTTCATTAGCTCAGTTTAGGAGGAGAACAGTAGGACGTTAAACCCGATTTCATTTCATTTTTCTCGACCAACACGGAAATTGAACCCCTCATTTGCTAGCCAGTGTGTTACTAATTACTAGAGAGAGAGAGAGAGAGAGAAATGGGGTTTAACGTCTACTCGACACAAACTAGGTCATTCCGGGACTAACATATGGTTTAATTTTTATTTACATAATTCGCTTGCGCGTAGGGGTCTTTAGCAGTGGGAGAAAACCGGAGGTTGGACAGGCGACCCTACTCCTTGTCACGTACAACCGGGGATTCGAAACCACGCCAGTCAACTCAATGACAGACTTTATGATACAGCGCCCGCACGCTAACCATTCAGCCATCCAACCCCCCGTTACTAATTACTAAGTTTGTGAAATTAAGTTTTTTCCTCATGTAGGTTTGTCCTGATGAAATCGGTTTATTGTCCTACTGTTCTGCTCCGACTGGGCTAATGAAGACAGGTACATACCATACAATGTGCTATGAGGGAAATTTTGCCTACTAATATCGAATCCAACTGCCAAGGGATCTTTTCGTGCAAGCCAATGTATACATGGTACCTCGGTTTTTTGTCCCATCTGAGTGACTAGACTACTGTCCTTGTTCCTGCACCTCTGACAAGGGGAAACCATGTCGGAAAATCCTGATGAACTTTCTCCACCAATGCAGGGATCGAACACGTGCCCTCCGGATTACCGAGCCAGCATCTTACGCACTTAGCCACCATGGCTTTATCAAAATTAGTAATGAAGATGTGCTATGACAGAAATTTTGCCTGGACAGCAGCATTACCGCACTTACTAATGAAGAAGTGCTAGGAAAGCCTGGAGAGCAGCATTTCCGCATATAGTCATTACCAATAGTTCTAAGTGCACGCCAACCTGTAAAACAGGTCTTTACACACTTTTCCATCATTACCAATTACTAGTCTGCGGGTTCACTAGTCTGTGGGTGCACTAATCCGTGCATTCACTAGTCCACTAGTCTGACTCTATAAAATACTATAAATATGAGTATTAAAGAAACCCAGTAGATATGGTGACTGATATCACCCTTCGTAAGGCGATAACCCAACATCATTTAAAACCCCATTTAAAATTCATTTTTATACTTTTCTGAACCAATCGGACTATTGAAGATAGTCATACGCAATGCAGAGTGCTATGACGGAAATTTTCTATGGACTGTGGCAGGGCGGAGGATCTGGCAAGGGATAAGGTATAGTTGTTCGGGTCATACGAAAAATCAAGTCCTCGTGTACATATTGGCATGCACGTAAAAGACACTCCGACAGTTGTAATTCAATATCAGAGTAGGCCATAGTGCCGCTATCCGTGCAAAGTTTCCGTCATAGTACACTGTATATAGTGTATGCCTGTCTTCATTAGCTCACTCAGAGCAAAACAGTAGGATGTTTAATCTCATTTAATTTTATTTAATTTTCCTACTTTTCTGCACCAATGGGACTATAAAAGATAGGCTGGCAAGCGGACGAGTGCACCCATTGACTATTGAGCATCATTTACTTGAAAACGTTGAGAGAACCCTCAACGAAATGTCGCTTTAATTAAAATAGTAATTGTGTTTTTTGTTGTATCATCGAGTCAAGTGAACGTTAAACCCCACTTCTCTCTCTCTCAATTTTGATACCCAAAAATTTGACAAAACAAATAATGATTGATTGTCGGAAACTGTTTCATAGAGCAAAGTTGTTCTCTACTAAAAGGTTATCACTGTCCAAATGTTCGGAGTAGTCCACACCTAGGCCGACTATGCATGAAGTGTTTTTATAATTAAATTTATTAAATATAGTACCTTGCATCAGTAAATATAAAATTAATGATCCTTTCACCAGTAAATATAAAATTCATAGGCCGACAATGCATTGTGTTTTTATAATTAAAGTTATTAAATGTAGTACCTTGCACCAGTAAATATAAACTTAATGATCCGTGGACCAGTAAATATAATATTCATGATCATTATTTATATAAGGCCTTCATCAACCTTGCACCAGTAAATATAAAATTAATGATCCTTGCACCAGTAAATATAAAATGCATGATCATTATTTATATAAGGCCTTAATGTATGTTTGTACAAGTGTACATTCTTGGAATTGTATTACCATTAACAATATGGAGATCAATTATAATAACCTTTGGCCTTGTTCATGAATCCTTAAATTTTTGAAAATTTAGTTCTTAATATGAAACTATCTAAATAAAATATTGCTTAAATCAATGTGTGTTGTTAATGTCATTCAAAATGGCGGCTGTCTACATATACAATATATAAAATAGGTCATGAGTCGATTGTTGCGGTTTTTTTATTTCGAATTTAAAAGTTCAACACTTAATTATATAAGTTGTAAAACCATATAAAAATAAAGGTTGGACCAAGACTAGTTCCATTTTTTAAGTTATGAATCTGAAAAATAGATAATAATGACCCAGTCAATTAACATAGAGATCTACTCTAGCTATATGAGTCCATATATTTATCGTCTCTCGATAAAAGACCTATCTCTGAAAATTAAAATTACCCGATTTGATTATTCTTTTAATATAACGTAATCATGTAACCTCATATAAAATATGGTAGAGCGTATACAAACAAATTATATGAATAGATTCATTATCAGAAATATTACAGGCCTTTCAAACGAACAGTCGCCATTTTTAAACTTACATACATGTAGATGTACAAATATATTTTTATCGTCTCGGGCAAGGTCAAGGTCACGATCTGTTCACGGTTGATGATTGTGTTTAAATCGGTTTATATCATATTATTTCTATTCACATTACAATATTTTTTTATAGGTTACGGTTATTGTTGTTATTTATCAAAATTCCTTCAATTATTTATTACATATTTTTTGTTTGTTCCTTTGACCGGAACGTACGGAATTCTGGGATTTAAAATGGCGGCATAGGTTATTATTTTTCCCAAAGAAGAAATGATGCCGTGATTTAAAGTTAAATAAAGCTATTCCACACATACACACACGATTTTGGATTCAGCAAAGTAAAGTTGAAGGTAAGTGCACTTTTTATGCGAACTTCCGTTGACAGTATACCGATAGATCTAATGTTGATAAAAAAATAATCTGGCCGTGGAAAAAGTTTGCACGCAACTTTGTATATCAGACAATCAGTATTTGTTTTTAACACGATGCAGTTACATTGTCCGTAAACCATACTATTCATAAACAAAATCAACATTGCTTTAGGTTATCGAAAGTAATACTGGTTCCAAAATTGTTTTTAAAAAATCTGGATCCAAAAATTATCAAACACATAACGAATTTATTAATGATGTAGACTGTTAAAATTCAGGCTGTGCTAATTATAATATAAGTACATGTAGTATTTTCTAAACATTTTTATGGGTGTTTCAGGTTGGGTTTTTTTGTTGTTATTGTACTGATATTTTTGCAAATTTAATAATGCATAATGCAAGAGCTAAATCTATATATTGTACGTAGGTTAAGTAGGTATTTCTTGAGACTGTAAATGTTAAATTTTTTTATAAGACATTTTAATGTATTAACTTGCTAAGTCTATAATCAAGTCTCAATGCCATCGGGTGCTCGAGATGTTCACAGATTCAAACACTGGCGGTTAATGTTAATGATTTAATTTAATTGAAAAATGGATAATCAAGACTTTAAGCTTATATACATAGGCCTATTTATATGATATAACATTAAATAACAAGTTTGCCCGTACATACTTGTACATAAAGGTTTCAGTCCTACTCCCCTGCTTATTTTTTCTTGTGGTGGCCAAGAAAGTTCATCAGGATTTTCTGGCATGGTTCCTCTTTTAACTGGTGCAAGACAGAGGGGCTGGTAAGGGCTAATGTACAGTTGTTCGGATACGACAAAAAACCAAGCTCTTTTGTACACACGGTCCAGTCAAAATTTTCATCATAGCACACTTTCAAGCATTTGTCCAACTTCTTTAGCCCAGTTTGAGCAGCACAGTATGATGTTGAACCCCATTTCATTACAGATCCACAGTAGGTTGGCTGTCAGCCCAGTTGGAGCTGAACAGTAGGCCGTTTAACCCAATATCGTTTTTTTTGGGAGTATAAAGTTGCTTTTTATTTTTTTATTTTTTTTTTACAGATCCTTCATGTATATTTGAGCACCCGTGGTGGCAGTAATGACAAAGAAGTTCTAAAAAGATTTATAATGAAAGTTAGACAACACTACTACTTGCCAAACACTACTACTTGTCACATAATGTAATGATATAAATATATATGTATCTATGGTAGCACAAATATCATCAGAATGTAGGCCAAAGCTTTACAAGCATTGTAGGCCTAAAATACTTTCTGTCTGAACTTTTGACAGTCAATTCTTTGATGACTAGTTAGTTTAGAGCAGATATCCTGTCACAGTATTATATAACAGCTCTTTGGCTTAAAATTTAAACTGAGTTGTATCAGTGAGTTGAAAATCATCTGTGTTCCTGTTATTGCTCCCTGCTGCAGCCAGTAAACAATAACCTTTTGCGTTCCTTACAAATGTTCCAATTTTTACTGATAGATCAACCATAGCAAAGATCTCTATTAAGATTATATTTGTAATGTGTGTAACAAATTCTATGACATAGGTATAATATTGGTGTAGTTAAGTATATACCATATTTATGCACACATTTCAATATTGGCATATTATTAGTCTCTATCATCTAGAAAAAAATATTCTATATTCTACGAATATTAGTGTGGTTGCGTTGTCAACATTTGAGAATAATCGGTCATAGGCTAGATTATCCGGTCTTTTACATTATCATAAACAAAGTCTAAGGGAGGTAACTAGTCCTAAAACAAGATGTTGACGACCATGAAATTTATATAAGAATGCCATTTCCGAAAATCCATTTGATTGCATTGTCAGTTCAATATCCAACACTCTTAATTTTTTTTATTGTAAAATTTCTCTCTTCATGGGCCATATCTATGTTGTTTTTTTATTGAATCCTAATTCGTCATCACTATTCATGTTTGTTTATAAATGCAAGTGTTATTGACAACTGTCCCAGACCCTCATTATTTATATGGCCCAACTTTTCTTCGGGGTACACCGGCACGGTATTAGACTAGGATAAACATTAGTCTTATATACCGCCTCTACTTAATTATGGATGTAGGTCGGAAAAATGTAAAATTTGGCAATTTGACTTATACTCAACATCGACTTATGCTATAACTGTTTCAAATGACAAGTGCTAAATGAAGTATTTATGTGGTCTTTGGTGAAAGAAATGAAATGAAATGAAATGGGGTTTAACGTCCTACTGTTCTGCTCCTAACCTGGGCTAATGAAGACGAGCATATGCCATACAGTGTGCTATGAGGGAAATTTTGCCTGGGCAGCGGGGCTACGGCCTACTCTTATATCGAATTCCAACTGCCAAGGGATCTTTTACGTGCACGTCAATGTCTACACGGGACCCCGTTTTTTTGTCCCATAACGACTAGACAGCTGTCCTTGTCAGTCCCTCCGTCCTGCATCACTGACAAGGGAAACCACGCCGGAAAATTAGGATGAACTTTCTCGGCCAATACAGGGATCAAACACCCGATCTCCAGGCTAGCGAGCCAGCGTCTTACCCACTTAGCCACTTGATCCCCTCCTTTGGTGAAAGAGAGAGAGAGAGAAATGGGGTTTACTGTCCACTGGACACAAACTAGGTCATTTCGGGACTAACATGGTTTAATTTTTTATTTACATAATTCGCTTGCGCGTAGGGGTCTTTAGCAGGGGGAGGAAACCGGACGACCCGGTGAAAACCCACGAGGTTGGACAGGCGACCCTACTCCTTGCCACGTACAACCGGGGATTCGAAACCATGCCAGTCGACTCAATGACAGACTTTATGATACAGCGCGCACACGCTAACCATTCAGCCATCCATCCCCCCCCCCCCCTTTGGTGAAAGAAAACAGAGCTGTGGCTAGTGAAATGAAAGTTTAACGTCCTACTGTTTTGCTCTGAACTGGGCTAATGAAGATGGGCATACGCCATACAGTGTGCTATGTGGGAAATTTTGCCCGGACAGTGGCACTACGGCCTTCTCTTGTATCGAATTCTAACTTCAAGGGCTCTTGTACGTGAACGCCAATGTGTACATGGGACCTCATTTTTTTGTCCCATTTTAATGACTAGATAGCTGTCTTGTCTAGCCCTCTGTCCTGCATCACTGACAAGGGAGAACCACGCCGGAAAATCTGGAGTAACTTTCTCGGCCAATGCAGGGATCGAACACCCGACCTCCAGACTAGATAGCCAGTGTCTTACCGACTTAACCAACGTGATCCCCGTTGTGGCTACAATTCCTAGATTTGAAGGTCAGGTATGATATGAAACGAATATTTTGAACCGGTTCACCAATGCAACCAATCTGTGACGGGTTAACTGATAGAGGGTTACATCCTTGATATAAATATACTTGTCGCAGGTTTTAAAAATAGAAAGATATATATAAAGGTAGCTCAAAATTCATCTCTACATGTACATAGGCCAAGGGGGGGATCATGTGGCTAAGTGGGTAAGACGCTGACTCGCTAGCCTTGAGGTCGGGTGTTCGATCCCTGCATTGGCCGAGAAAGTTCATCCTGATTTTCCGGTGTGGTTTATCATTGTCAGTGATGCAGGACGGAGGGCCTGACGAGGACAGCTGTCTAGTCGTTTGGATGGGACAAAAAAAACAAGGTCCAGTGTACACATTGGCATGCACATAAAAGATCCCCTGGCAGTTGGAATTCGATACAAGAGTAGGCTATAGCGCTGCTGCCCGGGAAAAATTTCCCTCATAGCACACTGTATGGCGTAACCTTTTGCGTCTCTTCAAAATATTTCAAATCTTTTGTCATGGATCAACCATTGCAAATATCCGTGTTACAATTATATTTGAAATGTGTTAAACCAATTCTGCAACACATGTAATATTGGTGTAGTATATATCTTTGTTTATACACCCACATATCAATTTTGGCCCTGTTTGTCCGTACACTGGGTGTGAAATGTGAATCATTCCGATTGTGAGAGGACAAGCATTATCAATATACAGCTTTTCAGGACTTTGCCTTCCTTGGTTAATTCTCCTTTTTTCAAATGCAATAGATGCTGTGTTTATTCTTAATTGATCTTTTTCAAATTTGTGTTACACACTGGAATCATGAGAGGACGAAACCTATCAATATTCAGTATTCCACAACAATCCATTCCAGTGTCGGCCGAGAAAGTTCTTTGTGATTTCCAGACTTGGTTTCCTCCCCTTGTCAGAGGTGCAGGACAGAGGGCCTGACAAGGAGGGACAGCTGTCTAGTCGTTTGGATGGTACGAATGACCGAGGTCCTGTGCACACATTGGTTCGCACGTGAAAGATCCCTTGGCAGTTTGAATTCGATATAAGAGTAGGCTTTAGCGCCGCTGTCTGGATAAAATTCCATAATAGGACACTGTATAGCATATTTCCATGTCATTAGCCCTGTCGGAATAGGACATTAAACCCCATTTCATTTCACTCATTCCAAAGTTAACTCCTATTCCATCAATACCTTGAGCAAATAAGATAGAGGCTATAGGTTTTGGCCCAATTTGGTCAATATCCCAGTTTTTTCTTTCTTATATGCATATCAACACTTTCATAGCGCTAATGTAGACCTTTTTCTTGAACATTTTCCCTTGTCAGTGATGCCGGACAGAGGACCTGACATGGATGGCTGACTAGTCATACGGAAGGGACAAAAAAAAAACCCAAGGTACAGTGTAAACTCAAGTGTGTGTGTGTGAAAGATCCCTTGGCAGTTGGAATTTTATATAAGAGTACGCCATAGCTCTGCACACTGTGTGGCATATGCCCGTCTTCATTTCTCTAACAGCTGTGGATAAAAACTGTTAATATTTAAATGTGTATTTTGTATTTTATAACATTATATTTTTGTCTTTTAAATAAAGTATATGTATACATACTTGTAGTATATTTTGTCATATAATTCTGCTAGATTTTTAACTTTTCTGTGCAATACAGTTAGAATCCTGACTGGTTATGGGTAGATAGAGAGCAATGGGGTAAAACATCCAATAGACATAAACTGTCCTTTGGGACTAAGTGATTCAATTCAAGTTGAATAATTCATCCGCACCAGGAGGACCCAGAGAAAACCCATGACGTAAATATAACGTAAAAATGACGTAAAGTTTACGTTAGATTAACGTCATTTCCTGACGTAAAATTATCGTTAAAAAGATGAGCAAAATGATGGTAAACTGACTGACCATTTTTACGTAAATGTAACGTAAAATTAACATCATATTGTTATGTGGGTAATGGCTATTGTGATGATTTTTTTTTTGCTGTGGTGGATAATCTAACGACAATTCCTGCTCTGCTGAATAATCTAATCACAATTCCAATTGCTGGGACCATTCTATAGAAAATTCTGCTGCGATAGCTATTGTGACAAAAAAATTTGTCTGGTGTAGTGGCTATTCTGCCGAATATTTCTACTGTGATGGATAATGTCACGAAATTCCCGATATAATGGATATTCTAAAGAAAAATGGTGCTGTTGGAACCAATCTATAGAAAATCCTACTGTGAGAACCAAGCTGAAAAGCCATTCTGGTGTAATGGCTATTGTGAAGAAAATTCTGGTGTAATGGCTATTGTGAGGAAAATTCTGGTGTATAGGAGCTTTTACGGGTTTCCATTTTGACGTTATTTTCGGTCATGCGCAGACATTGGCCTTATTCTTAGACTGAAACCCATAGGCCAGTGTGTGTTTTTTTGTGAAAATACCGTCGTACAGTAAGCTTCTTTTACATAAAATGGAACTGAATGCCATTTCTATATATGCGTACGGTTTACCGACCGATGGCAGAAAGCGATATTTACAAAAACTTCGATATAGGAAAGATACGGCAAGTTTACCAGACCCGTAATTGGCCGTTTGCAATTGAAACAAGTGGATGACTGATCCGTGCTCAATGGCCCGAACTAAAATTAAGTGAGGTTTATTACGCATTTTACGGTCAAACAGATGTTATATATTAATTACGGGACTATTAACACAAAAGATTTTTAAAAATGGTCTATCCTATTTACATTCAACTGCCAACTGGACAGTTCTTTGCGAGGTTAATATATCGTCTGCTATAGCACTGCATGCCACGACCCTACGTACTCGACACAAAACACGGTACTATGTTGGTCTTTGTTTGAGGCTGTCGACTTGAAAATAATTCCAGCTAATAATACTATAAATAGTATGCAATATGCAAATAAGATTGTTTATGCATGCGTGCTGTTAGCCAATAGCTATTGTAAATTTCCCCGCGTTTAGACGGCTCTTACCAATGATAAAATAGTTGTTTGGTGCACGGGGTAAAACTTCAGCCATTTTTATAAATTTTTCTCTTGATTGATTGGATATGAATAACAGAAAGAATAAAACGACGATCAAGTTGAATCTGTGAAAATTTTTAAAACCGTTTTTTTTCTGTTAATTGTAGTCACATAAATCGTCTTGGCTCAGCTTTTGGCACTCAGTGAAATTTTAATCCAATCAGTTTATCTTGCCGCAACCAAGAAGAAGAACGATACATTTGTGTCCATTTTATCAATTTCTAATTCAGTATTTGGTTCAGAGAACAACTGTTGAATGAAAATATGTAACTGGACTCGGTGCATTCTATACATCGTGATTATTATTTGTTCTCTTTTTTATTAGATGTGCTACGGTCGTGCTTAAATTTTAATATCGTCTTGAATAATTCTTTTGTGGAACCGCAGGTCACCATCTCTAATTACCCATTCTATAATTTACTCTTATGCTCTATTTCATGGCATTTTACAACCAAACAGATGTTATCTATTAATTGTTTGCAGTAAAATTAAAACAAAACATATAAATCGGCTTCATACAGCAATGCATCTTTGTAATGCTTTTCCGTACTGTGGTCAACTGGGCCGTGTGCGAGCTTGACATATATCGTCTGCTACAACGCAGTATATGGTCATTAAAACAAAAAAATAATAACTTAGACATGATTTGAAATCGGTAATTTATTACGAATGCTACACGCAACTTAAAACAAGAGTGGCATTAAAGAATACGTTTTCTATAAAGAGAAAAAGAGGGAAAACCCCGCTTTCCCTAGCATTTACCATGTTAAGATACGGATAGAAAAAGGCCAGGCTAAAAATAGACACCGGAAGTACGTCACGCGTAAAAGCTCCTATTGGCTGGGACCATTCTATAGAAAATTCTGCTGCGATAGCTATTCTGACAAAAAAATTTGTCTGGTGTAGTGGCTATTCTGACGAAAAATTCTGATGCGCCGAACGATCATAACCTACATAGGGCCTAAGATAAAACTACTTTTCAAGGCCAACCCTGTTTTATTTGTCTCTTATCACCGGGACTCTGTTAGTTTTTAACTGCCTGTTTTATGAAATAATCTCACATTTAGTATAAAATAGTGTACATCTTTATATTTTTTTAAAAAACAACTTAACACTAAACAGGATTTAACTGACACAGTATGCGACTGATAATTATGCCCATAATTTTGCTTGTTGGTTTGTTTTGTTTTGTTTTTTTTATATATGGTTACATTGCCAGTTTGTAAAGTGCCCCTGAACACTGTATATGAAAGGGTGCACTATAAATATGCTGTAATAGTAATAAATATGCTGTAAAAGTAATAAATAATAGTAATAAATATGCTGTTATATTAATAAATATGCTGTTATATTAATAAATATGCTGTAATAGTAATAAATATGCTGTGATAGTAATCTATAGAAAATATTACTGTTGGGACCAACCTATAGAAGGACATCCTGCTGTGAGGGCCAATCTGAACTAATATAAATCAATACAGAAAAATCCCGCTGGAGATTAATCTGAGCAAAATCCCTGCCGTGAGGGATAACCTAAAAAAATCCTGTTGTTGGGACCAATGAAGAAATTCCTGCTGTGACACGAATCTAAATACAAAATCGTGTCTTGGGGCCAATCGAAATTTTAAAAAAATCCTGCTGCTGTGAGAGCCAATCTACGATATAAATACGGTGTTTGTGGGTGGGGGTGGGGGTGTATAGAATATTTATTTCTTTCGTCACTTTTTTGTGTATCTTGGGGGCGGGATTAATGGCGTTATGGGTGACAGATTGTCAAAGTTAGCGATATAAATAAGGCTATATTAGTTTATTTTTCTACTTTAAACTCCTGGGCCCTGTTTTATGAAATTTTAACTAAAGATAAAATCCAAATTTTAGTAGATACTTCAATTTTGATTGGCTAAGCACTAAAATCAATCTAATATTATCCAATCAAATTACTAAAATCTGGATTTTATCTTAGTTAAAATTTCGTGAAACAGGCCCCTGGCCTGGAATAGCAGGTAAACGGGTTTTAACATTTATGTAGTAGTCAATGTGGTCTGCCCCCAGTTGGAGGCAGACCACCATTAAATTTCACCATCTCGGTACCCACACGAATTGTAGTTCGTCTATTTATAGCAATTCTCTCTCTCTCTTTTCTCCCCTTTTGCATGCCCATTTTTGTTGATTTTTTGGTCTAGAATGGACGAAGAGGGTTTGAATTAACATTTTCTGCCAGGTTTTGGCAAATATTCATGATTTTGAGGCGGAAGGATAACAGGGTCATCAGGTTGGCTACGGCGATATGTACGGCAACTAGTTACATGTTTTAAGTATGCTTCTTCAAGTTTGTGTATCTCAAAATTTTGGTGGTCAACCTCATACAAATTTTAGTGTAAAGACATGACCATTTGTTCCTCTGTCTGTAGTGAAAAGCATTCAGCCCAACGAAAATTTGGGGAAAAGTTGGAGGTGGGCAAAGAGGCCAGAATTAACATTGAAGTCAATGGGGAAATTAATGGTGGTCTGCCTCCAGTTGTTCAAATTATTTCCCTTGATATTTCGAAGGTGAAGGCTGACAGCTGTCAATCATTCTGGGCTAGTGGCTATGATGCCTGTCACTTTGTACTGGCCACGAAAGAGTGTTAACCTGATTGCATAACAAGTGGACACGTTTTTCTATAATAGTCTTGGTTATTCTTATATTTTTTTCTTGTTATATATTCTTGGTAACAAACAAGATTAGTCTTCTGGTAAGTGGTTGACGTTGGTCTATCGGATATGTTTGTTTTTAGCTACGATTGGACTGGAGGAGGGTATTCACAAGGGCCCTATTGATATTGCACTTTCGCACCCCTACTCTACCACTAACCAGTGACCGGTTCCCGAATCGGTGTTAAAGGAGACTGGCCATGATCGCACACCAAATTTCAGTCGAATCGATCAGTAACTTTTCATTTTACCGACCTTTTAGCTTCTAGGAGAGATAAGTTTAAAAATGTCGGAATGTCGCGTAAAAATGTCGGGTTAAAATGTCGGGTTGTCTTCAGTCGTGGTGTCGGGTTATCGGCCATATTCCTCTCAATATAATCAATGCTATGGTAAGGTTATATAAACACTGATCCTGGTGTTGGTCAAGAAAGCTCCCAAGGATTTTGCAGCATGGTTTCTCCCTGTCGGTAGTGCAGGACAAAGGGTCTGGCAAAGTACAGAGTCTAATTGTGTAGATGGGACAAAAAAACAAGCTCCTGTGTACACATTGGCGTGCACATGAAAGAATCCTTCACAATCACAGTTGAATTTCGATGAAGAAATGCCACGGTCCATTGAAAATTTCCGTCATAGCACTCTGCTCTAACTGAGCTAATGTAGACAGGCATACACTATACAGTGTACTGTGAGGGAAACTTTGCCCGGATAGCGGCGCTACGGCCTACTCTTATATGAATTCCAACTGTCAGGGGGTCTTTTACGTACTCGCTAATGTACACGAAACCTCAATTTTTCGTCCCATCTAAAAGATTATACCTTATCCCCTGCCAGGATCCTTGCCAGGCCCTCACGCTGGAAAATTCCCGATGAGCTTTCTTGGCCAACGCAGTGATCGAACAAGAGGCCTCAACGTTAGTGAGCCAATGTCTTGCTCACGAGCCACCATTACAACCAGAAAAGTAGGGACATTAAACCCGATTTCCGGAGTGATTCCTTTTTATAAGCCCACATTTTTATGTCCGTCCGTCCACAATTGTTTGTGGACACTCTACAAGTCACAATTTTTATCCGATTTCAACGAAACTTGAAATATAGGTTTATCTCCCTAAGATCTCGGTTCCTTTCGATATTGGCATGGATTGTGGGCCCTGATTGTACGAAAATTTGCGTTTTTAGCTTGTGGACCCTATAGAGGAATAGAGGTCATAATTTTTATCTGATTTTGTTGAAATGTGAAATCTAAGTTTAAAACCCAATGATCTTGGTTCCTTTCGATATTCGCGCCTATCGGACCGTAACTTCCTGAATTATGGCCCCTGAATGTACGAAAAATCATTTTTTTTTAGCTTGTGGACCCTATGGAAGTCACAATTTTATTCTGATTTAAAGAAAACGTTTGAATATATCACCGTTACACCTTAATGACAGTTGAGTTCGAATTTCGTGAAAATCAGACCAAAACTGCCTGACAAAATGGCCGCCCCTCGAACACAAACAGTGTAAAAATATGGTACATAAATATCAAGGTTGTGGACCCTCTAGAGCTTACAATTTTGAACCGATTTTGATGAAACTTGAAATACATGTTTATAACCTAAAGATCTTGGTTCTTTTCGATATATGCGCATATCGGATCGTAACTTCCTGAATTATGGCCCTTGACTGTACAAAAAATCTCGTTTTAGCTTGTGGTCCCTCTAGTGGTGACAAATATTATCCGATTTAAAAAACCGTGTGAATATATCACCGTTACACCGTTATGATGGTTGAGTTTGAATTTCGTGAAAATCGGACCAAAACTGACGGACAAAATGGTCTCCCCTCGTATAACTCAAATGGTGTAAATACATGTATGTGGTGTATCAAGGTTGTAGACCCTCTAGAGGCCACAATTTTTTTCCGATTTTGATGCAACCTTAAATTTATGCTTATATCACAAAGGTGTTGGTTCCTTTCGATATTCGTGCATATCAGATTGTAACTTCCTAAATTATGGCTCTTGATCGTATGAAAAGGCTATAAATACAGTTTTTGTCCAAATTTTGTCATTTCCGGTGACATTGAAAATGTTAAATTGAGTTGAACTAGTCACAATTAACATTATGCATCAAATGGTTCACTTTTATGAAAATCCAAAAATAATTGACTCTTTTACAGGCACAATAGCGTAAAGAGTGACTCATGCAAAATTGACCATTTCTCGGCAACTGCGCATATTACAAATTCATTTTCACATACATTCTCTCCGTATAGATTATTGCTACGAGTTTATGAAAGTAACGAAGTAATATTTTAAAATATGAAAACGCTGTATGGGTTGTAAATAGCTTAATTTTACACCTTTTTATACGCCCACATTTTCATGTGGACGTATTATGCCGTCGCCCCTGGCCCCTGATTGTACCAAAAATCGCGTTTTTAGCTTGTGGACCCTATAGAGGTCATAATTTTTATCCGCTTTTAAAAACCGTATTATTATATCACCGTTACACCCTAAGGATGGCTGAGTTCGAATTTCGTGAAAATCGGCCCAAAATTGACAGACAAAATGGCCGCCGTTCGTTCTCAAATAGCGTAAAAATATGGTATATCAAGGTTGTGGACCCTAAAGAGGGTCACAATTTTTATATGATTTTGTTGAAAATTGAAATGTAAGTTTATAACCCAAAGATCTCGGTTCCTTTCTATATTCGCGCATATTCGGACCGTAACTTCCTGAATTATGGCCCCTGATTGTACGAAAAATTGCGTTTTTAGCTTGTGGACCCTATAGAGGTCATAATTTTTATCCGATTTAAAAAACCCTATTATTATATCACCGTTACACCCTAAGGAAGGTTGAGTTCGTATTTCGTGAAAATCGGCCCAAAATTGACAGACAAAATGGCCGCAGTTCGTTCTCAAATAGCGTAAAAATATGGTATATCAAGGTTGTGGACCCTATAGAGGTCACAATTTTTATACGCCCACATTTTCATGTGGACGTATATTGTCGTCGCCCCTGTCCGTCCGGACGTCTGGACGTCCGTCCGTCCACAATTTGTTTGTGGACACTCTACAGGTCACAATTCTTATCCGATTTTGACGAAACTTGAAATATAGGTTTATCTCCAAAAGATCTTGGTTCCTTTCGATATTGGCATGTATCGGATCGAAACTTCATGGATTATGGCCCCTGTTTGTACGAAAAATCACGTTTTTAGCTTGTGGACACTATAGAGGTCACAATTTTTATCCGATTTTGTTCAAACTTGAAATCTAAGTTGATAATCCAAAGATCTTGGTTCCTTTTGATATTCGCGCATATCGGACCGTAACTTCCTGAATTATGGCCCCTGATTGTACCAAAAATCGTGTTTTTAGCTTGTGGACCCTATAGAGGTCATAATTTTTATCTGATTTAAAAAACCGTTCAATTATTTCACCGTTACACCCTAAGGATGGCTGAATTCGAATTTCGTGAAAATTGGCCCGAAACTGACAGACTAAATGGCCGCCGTTCGTTCTCAAATAGCGTAAAAATATGGTATATCAATGTTGTGGACACTATAGAGGTCACAATTTTTATCCGATTTTGTTGAAACTTGAAATGTAAGTTGATAATCCAAAGATCTCGGTTCCTTTCGATATTCGCGCATATTGGACCCTAACTTCCTGAATTATGGCCCCTGATTGTACGAAAAATCGCGTTTTTAGTTTGTGGACCCTATAGCGGTCATAATTTTTATCTGATTTAAAAAAAACTTATTTTTATATCACCGTTACTCCGTAAGGACGGCTGAGTTCGAATTTCGTGAAAATCGACCCAAAATTGACAGACAAAATGGCTGCCGTTCTTTCTCAAATAGCGTACAAATATGGTATATCAAGGTTGTGGACCCTATAGAGGTCACAATTTTTATCCGATTTTGTTGAAACTTGAAATGTAAGTTTATAACCCAAAGATCTCGGTTCCTTTCGATATTCACGCATATCAAATTGTAATTTCCTGAATTATGGCCCTTGATTGTTGGAAAAATCACTTTCTTGTTAGCTTGTTCTCTATCCATCTCTCGAAAATGTGGGCGTATCCTGCCTGGCAGCTGCTGGTTATCCGATTTTGTTGAAACTTGAAATGTAAGTTTATAACCCAAAGATCTCGGTTCCTTTCGATATTTGCGCATATCAGACCGTAACTTCCTGAATTATGGCCCCTGATTGTACGAAAAATCGCGTGTTTAGCTTGTGGACCCTATAGAGGTCATAATTTTTATCTGATTTAAAAAACCGCATTATTATATCCTGAATTATGGCCCCTGATTGTACGAAAAATCGCATTTTTAGTTTGTGGACCCTATAGAGGTCATAATTTTTATCCGATTTGAAAAAAACGTATTATTATATCACCGTTACACCCTAAGGACGGCTGAGTTCGAATTTCGTGAAAATCGGCCCAAAATTGACAGACAAAATGGCCGCCGTTCGTTCTCAAATAGCGTAAAAATATGGTATATCAAGGTTGTGGACACTATAGAGGTCACAATTTTTATCCGATTTTGTTGAAACTTGAAATGTAAGTTTATAACCCAAAGATTTCGGTTCCTTTCGATATTCACGCATACCGGACCGTAACTTCCTGAATTATGGCCCCTGATTGTACGAAAAATCACGTTTTTAGCTTGTGGAGCCTATAGAGGTTATATATTTTATCAGATTTAAAAAAACGTATTATTATATCACCGTTACACCCTAAGGACGACTGAGTTCGAATTTCGTGAAAATCGGCCCAAAATTGACAGACCAAATGGCTGCCGTTCTTTCTCAAATAGCGTAAAAATGTGAATATATCAAGGTTGTGGACCCTATAGAGGTCACAATTTTTATCCGATTTTGTTGAAACTTGAAATGTAAGTTTATAACCCAAAGATCTCGGTTCCTTTCGATATTCACGCATATCGAATTGTAATTTCCTGAATTATGGCCCTTGATTGTTGGAAAAATCACTTTCTTGTTAGCTTGTTCTCTATCCATCTCTCGAAAATGTGGGCGTATCCTGCCTGGC